AAAAGCTTTAAATAACATTTAAACCTTAAAGATAAACATTCGTTCCCGATTCGCTATTCTCTCTAGTTTACAAAATGTATGTTTTTTGTACATGGAGAAATCAAATAATTTGTCCTAAGAAAAACTTTTAAATAAAACACTAACGGCTTAAAACGCGATGTTTATTAGTTAAACTTATTTGGAAATTATTTTAACTACGGCCCAACGTTTCGTATGCTTTGTAGCAGGCGTGGCAACGGAGAGACTTGAGGTAGTGGTTAAATAAATTTTCAAATAAGTTAGATTAATTATATATCACGTTTTCAACTGCTAAAGTGTTTCATGTATTTGTGTCTACTCGCGTTAACTACAGACAGTATATAACGAACTTCTTAAAGAAAAACGTATCTTTTAACTACCAACAAACATTTATATATATCATAACATAACCAGATTTTTGTATCTAATGTAAGGTACATTTATTGCATTACCGTTTAATCGGTAATCTTCTTCAGGTTCAATGCAACTTTTTACGAAATTGATATGACAAAGATCGTTGATTTTTTATTGAAATACAACAAGCGCATGCGAGACGAGAAGCTATGCCACGAAGGAATTTAATTGTATGATAATACAAGCTTCGGTAGCAAGTCGGAAATGACGTCACAAAGGTGGAAGCTTTTGTAGAGCTTATTATGAGCCGGAAGGAATCGCTGAAAGCCCCCATTTATAATAGCTAAGGATTTCGCTTTATTTTGTTTATTTCTTTCACCTGTCAAACGGATGGTCTGTATTGTAGAAGATTATATTAAACGTGAGAAATGACACTCTTGAATTAGATTTAGTATCAAAAGTTGACTAAGAACGTTAAGAAGCCTTCGCGTTATAATACCCTAGCAGACCTGGAAAACGTTCTTTTGCTTTTATTTTAAATTTCTTTTAAATTAAATTAATAAAACTAATTCCCTATACATATTCTTTGTGTATCTTGTACTGTTTTCGCAGTTTTAAAAATTTTTAAGATTTTTTTTTCAGTTTTTGCCACCTTTTCCACAGTTTTATAACATATAACATGCCTGTCTTCCTCCATAAATGGTACAACCAACTTTTTTTTTTCAATTTTAACCAGTAGACTTAGTGTTAAGCGCGTTCAAACATACAAAGTCTTCAGCTGTATAATGTTAGTATACACATGCACGCAAATTTAAACAAAATAAGCCTATGCTAGAAAAATATACTTTACATGTTACTGGCTGTATAGTCACACAAGAGCCGAGAAACGAAACCTTACCGACGAGACATTAGTTGTATTAGATCTAACTAATTAAGAGTTTCCTGTAAAGCCTCGGAGCCGCTAATTAAGGCTTCGCAGGATTCAATTTACGACTGCGTTACGACCTTTTTCTGCACATTGAGACTGATTGAGGAAAACATGTGGATATGTTCTTTGCTAAAGTGTAATATACACGATAGAACAGAAAGTTAAATGAAACGGGCGTAAGGGTAAGGCGTAAGATATCTATAAGTGCGATAGTACTACTAGAAGCGGTTGATCCATCTTATTATAATTAGTAACTATCAACTAAGTAAGCGATATATTTGCTTAAATACTGTCTGTAGTTTACGCGAGTAGTACACGACGCGATATATATTAACTTATATTGACTAACTAAAAATAACTTATTTGATTTTTCTTTAACTTCGGTCCGACGTTTTGGATGCTTTGCAGCATCCGTGGTCACGGGGAGTCTAAAAATGGGGGGATGTCTCTGACGTCAAAGTAAGAATTGCTACGCTAGCGCCATCTGTTCCGTCGAAGTTGGTATTTGGGCCAGTTTCGCCAAATACCGAAGTTAAAAATAATTTTCAAAGAAGTTTAACTATAATATTATATATCGCGTTTTAAACCGCTAAGTGTTTTATTTAAATATTTAGGTATTCTTTTATTAAACTACGGCCCGACGTTAGACGCTTAGCGGCAGCCGCGACCACGGCTTGTTGCGTCTTAAACCTTTAAAAGTGTTTTAATATGGTAATAGTATGGAATATATTTTACGGGTTAAAGTGCAAAATATACTTGTACATTTACTTAGTTATGAGTATTACGCGTTTTACTATACTGTCTTAGCCACTGATTAGCGTACCATTCAATATTTTGGGTTTTCAACCGAAATAGTAATATAATTTGTACTAGTCGCGCAAAGCACGACTACCTAATCGAAGAAAAATAGATACTAAAACAAGACAAATGAAAAAGCACAACCCGTTCTCTGTGTCACGAGTCCCGAGGATATTTTTATAAAAAATAGCAGAGAAATCACAAGAGCTCTCGAACATAGCGCTCCGGGGCCTCCAGGTTACACAGGCGGTCGATATAACTCGGTCAAGCACGTGGCGGTGGTGCGTGAGATGGTTCCGCATGTTTTTTTCTCCATGTATAAATTTAAATAAGCATTAATTGCAAATGATTTTAAAGGGTCGTTGGTCCAAAAGTCCCAATAAATAATAGGGCGTGAATATTAGTTCATCGCGAAAATTTCGATATTAGGTAGCAATGTAGGTACAACCACTGAACACAATGTTTTATGATTGAGGACGACAGACAAGCATAAGATTCACTTGATAAAAGGTGAAATACTCGAGCTATATAACATCTATACAATACTCTTCTTTTTTGCTTGGATACTCGGAAATCCACAGATTTCCAGACGAAGTCCAAATTGTTTCAGAAAAATTATAAATGACTTAATTATAAACATGTTTGACCGGGTGGCGATCTAACCCACCGCCCATTGATTGTTACTAGCCTCGTCGTAAAAGGTGTTAGTGTCCGCGTTCCTAGATTTTTGACTATCCAAAAACAATATAGGTCTACAGGGTATCTTGTTTAGATGTTATGTGGCTAGGGCGTTTCACGTTATATCGAGCAATATTCATTTGTGTCTGTCCTTAAAAAAGTAGGTCGCGGATTTCGTATTTACCAATTATAAACATTTATTGAAACACGCTGACGAGGCAAGTTAAGCCTCGTCATTGCATTGGGGATTGGATGTCCGTTAATTATTATTTTTTTCACTTTGTGCCCGCGCACTGCCGCGCTGCATTCTTCCATGAGAAAAAAATCACGGTAGTTCATAATAAAGCTGATATCAGAGAAATTGTTTCAATTCCGATCGCACGAGACAAACAAAGGAACCCTAAATAAAGGGATTACAATAATTTTCAAAGAAACATTTCCATGAATAAGGAATTCTCCCGAATGTGCCGGTAAATCCCGATCACAAAGAATATTATATTTCTGTAACTTCGTTCATTTCGTCAGTCATGCTTCGATGTTATCCTGTTTGACAACTCTCTAATATTTATATGGCGCCATCTTTTTCCACATTTTATATTTATGAGACCGATGACATTTCATTTTTGTTGATGGGAACTGTATAATAGACAACTTCGTTTTTTTTACATTTACATCTCCAATATTCTATTTACTTAAAAAAAAAAATAGATAAAAACCGATCCGTCCTTATAAAGGTCTATAAACTATATAAAAACATGTAAATAAATCACTTAAAGGTTTTAAACGTGAAAGTGTATTAGTTAAAATTAATTTTAATTTTGTTAAGTGTTATATTTAAATGTGCACTATTCACGTAAACTGCAGACATTACTTATATAAAAACATGTTTATATGACTAGTATTTTTAAGTCTCAAACCAACAAATAATTTCAAACGAAGTCTTTTATTCCATAGACAAATAAACACTAATTAATTAAATTATATGGGCGAGACATTAGAAATACTTACGTGTAGGCACTTTCAGCTAAAAATATTTTTATATTAGGGTAATAAAAAAGTTTCCTTCAAATTTTTCACAGTAACTTAGTTCATTAAAAAATGATTCAGACTACTGTAATTTGATTGCACTGCTTCATGAAATTATATTTTCATTTTGCTTAACCACAATCAACATGCAAATATGTTATTGTTGAATGTTGCGATGAATTCAGATTACCAAATAAATATATTTTATGCCAGTCTATATAATCTCTTTCTAGATATGGCCATCGATTGGTATTTACCTACCTCTTTGTATTCTTTTTCTTAATTCCTACTAATACTTCGCTGTTGAAAAGTGAGAATTGTGGGGCGAAAAAATCTCGGTCAAAGTTATAATGTACCCAGAGCCGTAGCCTAGGCGACCGCGATATTCATCAACACAAAAACCTGAAGGAAGCCCGAGCCCCTGATTAAGTTAATTAACAACCGAAACGTTTCAATGAGTTCTATACATCGGTTCAGTAGGTATCCGCCCTATCTGTTTTCACAATAATTACAGATAAATTTAATTTACCAATCAGTCTAATGAAGTAGAATTAAATAGTTAATTATCAAGTTTGTATTTACATATTACCAATTTTTACAACTGAAAATATACAAAGTTATATACATGAAATATTAGCCACGCCCGCAACGGGTCTTGAATCAGACAAACAAATCAAGTAGTTTTGTATGGCTATTAATCTAGGGTGGAGGGTTCGGTTCCTGCGGGACCTGTTTGGACCTGCGGTAACATGTTTATAATTAAATTTATAATTTTTCCTGAAATATGTTGCACGTCGTCTCGGAAACTGAATATTAAATGGGTGGTAGGAATATCGGAAATTTCGTCCAAAGCACGAACCTCTTTAGATGAAAAATACATGAAGTTTAATCGCGTTTCTACGTAAACGGGACTTATTTTGAATTTGGTAGGTAAGAACGCATCTTTGTGAGATGTTATACGGCAGCGAGGTGGTATGGTAAGGGTGTATTTCACCTTCCATTAAGTAAACACCATATTTGTCTGTCCTCTTCTAACATAAAAATATAGTAGTTTACAAAAGGCACATTTTTTTCCTTTGAAATAGGTTGAGCTGTTTAGTCTAGTAGTTGTAACCGACCGTTTATGCTATTCGAGAAGCGGAAAATCTCAAAAGGAACAACTTTCTGTATCTAGTACATAGTAGTTGCGTAGATAAAGATGGTGTGTTGTGGCACGCATCAGTGGCTCATTTCCACCGCTGCCAGTCAGTTGAGTATTTATTGGTTCAATAATGCTAATATCGACATCGCAAGCGCTTGTTAACCCGCAGCGGCGTTAAGCGTCCCTAATTGCGAGGCTCTGGCCACTCGGGCCCCCTGAGCCCACGTCGCGTTTACCCGTTTTACGTTTTACGACCCAAATGGGAATTTCATACGGAAACGTTGATTTGTATGTCGCATATTGGATGCGATCATTATGGCAATTATTTCGTTATATACAGGCTTTTATACAGAAATTAGAAAACTCCCAGTCCAGAAGCCACAGAAAGTATACTGTGAAGCCATAGACTACAAAAAATTGATAGAACATGTGTCCCAAAAATCCCCTTTTCTCCAAAAATAGACGACTACAAGCTAATTGAAAATTTCCTCAAGGAGCAAATACAAAGCCATAAAAATATATATATATATGCAAATCGTCCAAAACAAGACTGGATAAATAAAAAAGTAATTAAAACTAAGCTCCTTAATTATTAATCCTTAATTTAAAAAACTTACACAAATACTGTACTTGTCTCCTAATTAGAAAAATTACATCTGGCACTACGAAAACAGACTTACAAATAGCTCAACGAAACGCCTATTACAACTTGAGGAAGCAAAATGATTTAAAGACGATACAAATTAGAACCAATTATGGGAAACGAACCATCCTGTTTGAGGGAGTGCATATGCATAACAATTTGCCCAGCAGCGTTAAGCTCTCGAAAAGTTTAGCCTTGCTTAAAAATAAACTATTAAGTCACATCTTAAACTGTAACCCTATCGAATCCTAGTTTTATATAAAATAGCCTGAGGCACACCAAAGTTATTTATAAAACAATGTATTAATGAGTTAATAAACATCTTTAAACCTATATGAAAGACGAAATAAAATAGGTCCAAGAACAATAACAAAATAATTTCGACATTGCTAACTGAGTTATTAAAATAAAAAACTAATTAGTCCAAGCTTATAAAGGAGGAAACAGCGAACGCAAAGTAAAGAAAGAGAAAAAGTAACTCTTTGAACTTAAAAGTAATTAGACGGGAATGGTTATTTTGACTTTTCGCGGCAGCTTCCATCATAATTAACAACATTGAACTCCTAAAATGAATAACAAAATTATATTTTGAATCTTCGGTTCTTCCCTGAAAGCGTTTTCATTTGAATTAAATTATTAATTTAATATTTTAATAGAACTTAAACGGTTCGTGCTCCTTGGTAGAAAGCTAGTGCACAGCCCATTTGATACTCGTCTCCTTCTCGCTTGTTAATTTAGAAAAAAAGAAAATATTTTAGTTCAAATTAACTTCGTTTCTTTACTACATTTGTGAACCATGAGAATCTTAATAAAAACCTACAATCTTTTTTTAACGAGGTCAAATCGACCGCGCGGACGGTGTGCTGAAGATATTAGGGTGCCATGCGACGCGGGTTATCGATTTGTGGCTAAGTTACTTTTTACACATTGACATAAGTATGCCCTAAACCTTTTCCTTTCTATATCTTACTTCCATATGTTTCTATGTATTATATATAGATATATATTTATGTATTATATTTCTTTTCACAGCTGAGGTAACCGGTTTTCCTGTATCGAAAACTAGCGCCTCTCTCTTACATTTGAGATCTTTACTCAAAGGTTGGACAAATTCTTTTCCGCTCGAGTTTTATGTAACAAACTCATTTTAATTGTGTGCATTTTAAAGAATCATGCGCATAAATCATTTTATACTGCTAGGTTTAAAGATAAATATTGTTTGTATATATTAACTAAAGATGTTTAAGTTATTAAACTTTACACTATTTGTGCTTAGCTAAAAACATTTCTGTCTATGGCAGTACAAAGTGGCACAATCATAGTACGTTCATCCGTACTGTTCATAATATATAATAATTGAAGTCCCACAACTTCACTTCATGTGTTTCATATAAAAATATATTATCCCAATTTACATTATTAAAAATGAAATTTTGCATTCTGCTTTCACAGTGATTTCATAATGACACGAAATTAATTACTTACAAAAAAATATATATCTCGGGAATTAAATATTAATCACCATTTCATGCACAAGAAGCACGCTTTTTTAACTTGCTTCGGTGTGATTTAATTTCCAATATTTTCATTACAGAACTTTTGCTTTGAATTAACTTTTACTTATTTTTTGAAAATCTATTTCTGAAGTCTTTACTGATATTTATGGTTATGGACAAACAAGCATGGAGTTCTTGATGGAGGTGAAATACCTTAGCCGTATAACATCGTAACAAGATGCGCTATCGACCTTTTTTAACCTTTGTCTATTCGGAAATCCACAAGCCATGTACTAATCGCTCGGTAATCGCGGAACAATCGTGTTTACATTGAATCGTATAAGATGCGCGATATCATCGTAAACAATGAATTGTTTTGCAACATAATAATATTTCATTTAGTATACGGTGTGCTCGTTGCTCTAAAGCCCCGGGGATTCAAAACATTACACAGCGTAGTGTTGTGATAAGGATGGCGTCCATTAAACCGCTATAGAGATAAGCTATATTCTGTCTGTTTATAACTATGCCATTTTAGTAGTACATGCTTAACGTAACGTAATTTTCACGGTTTAACGCGAAATGATTTTGCCTATACTACAGATCGAAGTCTAAAACAGTCGAATATCACAAATTGAGATACATACTAACTTGCTACGAACCTATATTTTGAACTTAATAATATGTCGATCACACAACTAGTGCGTCCATGTATATAATAATAATTTATTTTATGTTTTTTATTAATACGAAAGTGATTCAGATCTACCTCGTACGCGATATAGCTTAGCTTTCGGTGGACAACAGGCCCCACCTGTAACTCAATATGTTAGAACTCGACTCTGAGTGAATCGTGAATTTTTTAAAAGTCAACATCTCTATGAAAATATTCCACTTCCAGTTCCAGGACGAAGGACGAAGGTTTATTAAGGAACTCCCCGCATTGCTATTGTGGCTGTGCACTTTGTACTGGGAATTTTATAATATCGGTTAAGAAAATTTCTCACTTACTCCCTCACTACATCAATATTATTCGACGTTCTATTTTATTGAAGGGGTAGGCAATATATCAAACAATCTTTCGGGAATTTCATCTGTAAAAAGTTCAACAAAAAAAACACCATATTATGCCATTACAGCATGTCTTTAAGCATAGCCATATTTTTTTTTAATGATAGAGGACTTGCAAGCAGTTCACGTGATGGTAGATAAAATACCCCAGCCCATAACAACTAAACAAGTTACGCTGTTGACCTGTTTTAGCGTTAGATGTTTGGAAATCCACAGACTGAAACCGATAAACCGATTAAACTTAACGGCTTTATCATCTGTGGACGGCACGTGACCTGGACTGATTTCAATATTCTTGACCCCCATTTAATATCCAGATTTCCAGACGAAGTCCAATATGTTTCAGAAGAATTGATATTAGATATGTTAATCATTCGCCGTCAAAATATTAAAAATATTTAATGATATAACCGCTTCTTCTGTTATTTTCAGTCACCGCACTCCGCGAGCACTGGGATGAGGCAAACGCTCGTGTCCTCCAGCGCAAAGCCCAGCTGGACGCGATGCTGGGCGACTCCCAGAGGTATGAGGCTCGACGGCGGGACGCAGACGCGTGGCTCTCGCGCATGGAAAATCGCTTGGCCGCCATGACAGCGCCCGGGCACACCGCCGACGTGCTGGAGATGCAATTGCGCGAACAGAAGGTATTTTTGAATATTACGTAGTTTAAACTTCCCAACATAATGCTCACAAACCTGCCCGTTTGCCTTTAATTTACGCGAATAGTTTAATTAATTAAATGTAGTTAACTTTAATAATTTAATTAAAAATCGATTATAAATTGAAAAAAAATACGATACGGGCAGGACTTGAACCTATTTTTTATTTATTATATCCTCAACTAGTTTTTTCAAATAGTAATTACGAGCCTATGCGTAGTATATTTGACTTTGACGACGAAGAGACATCCTATTACTCCAGCTCCACCGTGTCCACGGCAGCTGCGTAGAATCTGAAACGTCGGGTCATGGTTGGAATAAAAAAACAATAGTTCAGCTAATATATTTCGGTTTTTAATCGTGTGTTAAATACGTAACACTTTAACGGTTTATAACGTAGTATTAGTTAGAAGTGTTTTACTACGGACCGCTGAACGTTTGCTTTGCAGCAGTGGTCAAGGCTTACTGTTTTATTAAACGTAAATTATAGTTATGTTTTAACTTTCCTTTCAGTACTTTTACGTAAATTTCGATTCGATTCTGCCGTTCAGTGTCCGTCCACTGCTGGACATAGGCCTTCCCCATAGACTTCCAGTACGACCGGTCGTTCGCTAGTTGCATCCAGCGTTTCCCTGCTACGTAAATTTACGTTACGTTAAATAACTATTAACAAGAAAACTTCAACATACGTCGATCTTTGCATGATCGCTGGTTGCGTAAATTAAAATGAATTTCCCGGGTGAACCCCGGCTACCCACGTCTGGAGGCCGCGACTCCTATCGAGCGGTGATTAGCGACTCTGCAGGGCTGTCTCAAAACAGAAGACAGGAATTTAAAGTATTGAAAATAGTACTTAACAGTATTTGTGGTAATACAAATTATGAATTGAAATTAATTATAATAAATATTAGCAATATAATATTAAGTATATTACGCTTATTATAATATAACTTGAAATAGAAATTAATAGTAGACAATCGGTATTTTGTACGATAGAGGAGGAAAGACATGCATGGAGTTCACGGGATGGTAAACAAGATGCGCTCGCTGTCTATCTAATATGTCTTTGGCTAATATTCGAAAATCCACAGACCGAAAGCGATACGCGGTTAAACTCGAAGGCTCGTCCATATGAAATGTCGATATTCCTACCAACCATTTGCCAGATTTCCACATGAAGATCAACTTGTTTCAGAAAAATTGTGACCCCGGTGGAGATCGAACCCACGACCAACTCGTATATTAGCCATACGTCCCCGTATAACTAGATGTGTACAGTATTAAGTCAACACACCGTAATTGTACCCTACATACGTAGTTAAGTTATACAAATGAGTAACCCTGCCCTGAGTAGGTCCTAAGAGCAACGGACTTACAAGTTGTTCAATCAAAACTTTCTCGTAATTACATTTAACCTAAGAGTCGCTTTTAATCACGTACGTCATTAGTACTGTTTTACGTCTTCTCTTCGTAAAGTTTAATTTCGTTTAAATTTACGCGATACCAGCGACGCGACGGCACGAAAGTGTTCGAGGCGCTTTCTTCGCGAACTCTCGAACTATTTTCATCGACACTTTTAATCCTTTTTAAAAGAACTCTTCACGACTTTATTTTTAAATTATATTACTGGTACGTAAGCCGATGTACTTTGGGTCGCTAAGCTAGTAAAATAAGGAAGTAATTATAAGCGGTTTCCAAACCTCAAGCATTTTTATCGTTTGAACATTGAGTAACGTTATAATAACCCTTTCTAAGAAGTTTTTGTTAATTATACGATTTAAACTAATTTAGTGACAGTGCATTTTGCTTTGTGAATTGCTGTGAGAAAGTTACGCTGGTGGAAGACACCAATAGTCAGGATATTACCACCAAAGGTTATTTTTTTGTTATGTTACAGTCTTTCCACGCTGAGGTGCATCAATATAAGCATCAGATCGAATTATTTGGCCAGCTAACTCAGAGGCTAATTGCTGTATACCGCAATGACGATACCACTCGCATCAAGAGGGCCACTGAAGCCATCAATCACCGTTACAATGAATTAAATAACAGGTGGGTACAGTCAATATGATAATATAAAGATCCAAACCTAACATGGCTTTAATTCCAACTAGGGATGCGAATGTATATTTCCCAAAAGGCGACCTCTCTCGGTCGTGATTGACATTATGTCAGTTGGAATATGAAAGTTGTAGCATTCAAACTCTCGAAAATACTCATAGATGGCATCTTTCATGGTTTGGTCAAAGTGCTCGGTTCACATTTTCTACGAACCTTTTCACCCCTTACCCCATGGTTTGAATAACCCACAGTGCACTTACTGTGTCCCTTTAAACCTTCCGGTTTTTGTAAATACTTCTCTATACTTCTTCTTTTTCTTATCAGTTGTTTCTTTGCTATAATTTAGAGTACATAGAGCATTCAGAGAGATGAAAGCTTGTTTCCTTACTTTCTTTGCAATTTGGACAGTAAGGCCGCTGCTTACTTATTAAGCTAAGCTAATTGTATTTCATAGTCATTCATTTCATGTCTTCATTTATATTACAGTATTATTGCTCGAGGAAAAGCGCTACACTCTGCAGTATCGTCGTTGCAGAACTTTGATCGCTCTTTGGAGAAATTCGTGGCTTGGCTGAGCGAGGCAGAGTCTTTGCTGGACGCTGCAGAAAGAGATCCACATTTATTAAAGGTAAGAAAGAGCAGATGTAGAGAACGATGCAGCGTCTATAGCTTGAAACAACACAACACGAGATATCTTTTCAAGTAAAAATTTGGATGACTTGATAAATTCACTTCTCTATTGGATTATAGCGCCATCTCTGAATTGAATTTTACTTCGTTTGGATGTAGTGGTTTCTTACTACCCTAAAATAGATACGTTACCTGAAATTCCAAGATGGCGCAAGATAAAGTATTGTAACGCGCGCCATCTATGACAGGGTGGTTTTATGAATATCACTATGTGTTTCGAAATTTTGTATGGCGTTTTCCTTACACTGAACTTGCTTTATAACTATTTCTTTTACATTCTTATAGATGACACTTTTTGAATTTATAATTTTAATGCAAAATAAATCAACAAAAACTATAAGGTTATACTTATGTTGACATCATTGTTTATTTATTCGGAATATATTCCTGTGTAAGTCTTTATGCTTTTTTAGAATCAATTAATAATTTTAAAAACACATTTGTAGTTAGTTTGACCCAATTTTATTTTTATAATATTCATAAAAATACAAACCCCCTCTAAGTAAGAATAAAAGCAAATAGAAAAAGTATCGCCAGAACTATTTTAATACCAACATTAAGGCAGAACGCAGCTAATGTATAGCATAATCAAAAGTTTAGCGTAGTTTTAAATTATCCTGGCGAAGTTAGGAATTGTTCCGAGGAGTTTCTGTGAAATGCTGTAATTATTTGCACTTAAGAAATTATTTGTTTTGCGCTTTTTAGTGTACAACTTTTAAACTTTCTGCAAACAGTCCATTTTTATTCTCTTTCTGGTCACCCGTAGAGTTCACCGGCTCTAGTTTTAAAAACTTTCCAGGTAATTACAACATATACAAAATATTTTCTAGATGTTTGGTTAATTTGTCCTTTTTCGTTAGACTTTTTCAAATATTAAAGTAAGTACTGAATTTCTTTTTTTATCTTTCATTTTCTTTTATAGGTAAGTCCACGACGGTTGCCTAAGTCGAGAAGACTAAGGTAAGTGTAAGTTACGATAAATTATTATCATAATAGATCTAATATATAGAAATATAGCTTCGAAGAAACAAATTATACTCAAAATAGGATATTTCGTAGTTTCATATGTCGGAGGCAAGAAAGATAATTTGAATCGATAAGGGAAATCAAACGAATGACGCGTGTAACCAATAGCTCATACATATGCGCATATTGAGGGGAGCCACATCAAACAATATTAATATCTGCTCAGTTCTTTCGCATCGCTTTTAGTTCTACCTCTATGTGGGGTATGTCTATTTCTTCTCTTGCGTCTGGAAAATAGAATTTGTGTACTTCTTTAGCTGAGTTACGATAAAAAAATACACGCGCACGCGATTAATAAATATTTTTCCAAATTAATTCCAACAAATCATAAAACTGATCTTTGAAAAAAAATTTTAAGTTTCATGTTATTAATTCTATATTGTGTTATTTCCTTATAATTATTTTTAGGAACGATGATAATCGTGTGTTGTGTAAAAAGTATAAATAAATAAAAGTGGTTTTTGAATACCAAACAAATTGATTGATCTATACCAATGTTGATACTTTTTAAAAAGCACTTTTGTAGTATATTAAAATTGTTATCATTATTTTTTTGTTGAGATTAATTTGACTTTTTTATATATAACAGAGTTACAAAATACAATAGTTATAACTTTCATAGAGTGAATTAGGAGTATTCCGTTTTGCTCGATTATTATTCGTCACAACTCAGGCTTTTATCGTGGCGCGTGTTTCCCTTTTATATTGTAATATTTTTCGCTCAGCGTTCACCGAACGAGAGGTAACGCTGCTGAATATGGTCCCAGGGACGACATCTCAATTTTAAAATTTCAATTCAAACGTGTTATTAAATTACTTCGTGAAGTAATGTGGCGGGAATGACCTGTTGTTCTACTTAATGTTTATTTTTAGCGCTCTTTGCCCGGAGGAATTGCTTTAAAAACAGTTTATTACCGAATTCATAATATAAAAAAAAAATTAAGACCACATTTTAATGTTGTAAATTTCTCATCTGCTTACAATTACTAAAGTTTTAGGTATAAATAATTCTGACTATAATTTTTTCGACATTTAATAACAACTTTAAAACTAATTATGTGTCGCACATTTGTTTATTTAATATACGTAGAATTTTCCAAAAACTGTAATGGAAAAATAGCGCGTATAACCAAAGTGCACTTGCATATCTACTCGGGCACAAGCACCGGGCGAGCGGAAACACTATCGAAGAATCAAAATGGCGTGAGTAACGCGTATGCACTTATGACCTTTTATATCGAAGTAAGGATGTCCATCACTGTGGATAATTTTACTCTACACTAATATATAAAGCTGAAGAGTTTGTTTGTTTGTGGGTTTCCTTTAAATTATCTAAAAATATGTCCGCGATGCTATATGACTATTTTTTAGATTACCTTGTAATTACGACGGAACCTGAACGATGAGTCTCATTTTATCATCAGCATCTAGCATTTTAACAAAGCTTTACTTTAAACTTACCGTACTTAAAATCTGTTTAATAAAGATATTTCTTTATATTTATTGTATACGGCATTATTGGCACGTTAATCATTTTTACTTAAGATCAAACCAAAAATCGTCTTAGACCCTTACCGATTTAAATATTGGTCTCACTCAATATTTTCACAGGCGCGTTCACATCCTATTAAAGTGAAGCGTTCTCCATCCTTTGATCCCTTCCTTTTTCCATTTCCCCCTTTTTGTTTATGATCGGGATTAAAAGAAATTCCGACTGACTGCTTTCTCGTGAAATAGCTTTATATATTTTTCCGTCTGTTAAAGAATGTCGTTGTGCCGAGAAATGTATTCTTTTGTGCGTGCTAAGACGTCAATTTCCTTATTTCTATTGCGCGCCAGGAATCGAATAGAAAGGGTTCGCAAACTGTAAATGATATTATAATAAATACCATTTTATATTGTATTGTATCTTGATATATACTAATATTATACAGCTGAACAGTTGGTTTGCTTTGACGCGTTAATCTCAGAACTATTGTTTTGAATTGAGATATTATTTCTGTGTTGGATAGAGGACTTACCGAGAAGGGCTTTAGGCTATAAAACATCACATTTTGACCAATAGTATAGATGGAGCAGTGGAAAATGTGCCAAAAATATTGAATATATTGAATGTGTTCCATTGTGTCCCAATCACGGAATTTGGTTATAGCGTTTGACTCAGGACTTTGCTTCGAAGCACATATTGAAAATGTGGTAAAAAACTGTCTGTATCGGCTAAAAGTAGTTTACCGCATACGACGATCGAAGATTTTGGCGACTTAGTTTTCGGGCCGCGTCTTTTAGCACGGACTGAACGTGTTGTGCAGAGGGTACAGAACGCGTGTGCTCGATATTGTTTTAATATAGCCCCTCGCACTCATGTTACACCCTATATTAACAAAAACAGGATCTTAAAAATGACGTTGCGAAGAAAATTGCACTTAGCTACTTTACTATTTGGAGTGATAAAAAATGCTAAACCTAATTTTCTTAAAAAAAAATTAGAGTGGTGTCGTGGTGTCTTCCAAACAAGGCTCCTCAGTGCAGGAGGGTTGAGAATTCCTAAATATAATTCGGCCGCCTTTAGGGGGTCGTTCAGTTACTCAGCGACAAAATGCTGGAATAATATTCCACCGCCAGCTCATAATTATAATTGTTTATTTGGCTTCAAAAAATTCTACAAAGCATTTTTATTAAACTATCAGAACACTTTGCCGCTGGGCGCAAGAATTTCTCCCTCCTATTTACGCCAATAATTTCTAATTTCTATTTTTATCATTTATTGCTTCCTAATGTTTACCGCTAAAGTCACTGTTATATAGTATCGAATGGTTGTATGTGCGCTGTCTAACTGACAAACGGTAGGGTTTTGCTGAAAATCAGTGTTGTAGCATAATAACCGTGCTGCAACTTATGCTGACGTAAGACCCTTTTGGCATCATTTTTAACAAAAATTAATTTAATCTTGTCGTAGTATTATTATTTTACTTTTATTATTATTATTTTCCATTGTCATTACATTTATTTTCACTATGTCTAATGATTGTACGAAATGAATGCTAAATAAAAAGATTTATTATTATTATTATTAAAAATGGAGAAAATTGTTAACCTTTCAGGGCTTTCGGTGCGTGCTCTGAAAACGGTTCGTGAGACAAAATATACGTATTCTTCTTTAAACAATTTGTTTGTTAAATTAAATGTCCGCGACAGTATACCTATCTTTTTAGATTATCACACAAGAACCGTTTTTTTGGTAATTCAATTTGGTCGAATTACTTCATACAACCAACCAAGTCATCTAGTATTTCTATAAAAACCCTTGTTGTCCTTTGTTTTTGGCCTCATTATTTTGTTTATCGAAACTATTATTATTTATTTTATTTAACTTTTTCACATACATCGTTTTATTTACACAATTTCTACCGGTAAAAAAACCGCAACTATATGAACTTTATATAATAGCTGTAATGAGTACTATAATAAATTAATAAATGAAGATATATGTTTGCCTTGAACTTTGTCTTCTTTAGCCTCAATAAGATAATATTTGGTCAGGAGTTGGAAATATAGTTCAATTGGTTGCATACAGTAAGTGGCACTAGCGGCGACGCCCGATGCCTGTTCGATCCATTCTGGACCGAAATATCCGAACTTAAATGCATTGAAAGCCCGATGCCAAGACCGCTGATACAAGCGGAGCGACTTCATTTCTTAACTATTACGTGGCCTAACAAGTTGAAATGTTTCTAATATTATGTATAGTTCTGTTTAATCCATTAGTATAAATCATAGATTAAATAAAGTAACGTAGTACTTTTGTACATTCGTAGTTCCCATTGAATGATCAAACTTATTTCTTTATTTACAAAAAAAACTTATAAAATATTTTTCTTTAAACAGCGATTTTCGCGACTCGTATAGTTCTTTTTGCAATGCACATGTTAAGCCAAATATATACATACATAATTAAATTAAACACTAACGGTTTAAAACGCCTAATATAGTATTTAGCTTTTTCGCGATCACGACTTCTAAAAAGCATTTGAATCGTCAGGTCGTCGAAATAATAAAAAAGTAAACTAATATATTTCATATTTTAAACCGTTAATAGTGTTTTACTTTGTTATGTACTCGCGTAGACTAAGAGCGCGTAAGCGATGATACTTACACACACTATTAGTTTTTACATTAGTCGTGACCTTCTGAAACGCGAAATTTTAAAAATATTTGGCATTATTTTCGCGAAGTTCATCAAAATCTATAAAACAAAATCGCTTCGCTTGTGGCCGTGAGAGAGCGTTAAAAGTTCAATGCGTTGAGTGTAGCACGTTGTACGAAGCGCTATAATGGACGGGTTAATATTGTACTCCATAAATAAATATTCCAATACAAGATAACCGCAAACGGATCACTTTGAGACTGAAGTGCACGCTCTGTTCATAAATTCTTATTCCTTCATAACAACCATCGAAGTACTTTCATCAATACGGAGACATTGACGCCATCTTTTAACTATTCAAACTAAACTTGTTGTAATTCCAATTTCTCCTTGTGGTTAGGAAGTAGATCGGTTATAAAAACTTCAAACGTTACGATTGTCAAATATAAAGTTACAAAGAGAAGTGTTGTTTTGTTGCTTGGAAGCGTGTTTTAATAAGCTCGGTATTAAAAGAGCGTCGCATGAAGAGTAAAATCATAAAACTGTTGATTTACGACAGCCCGATATAGACCATACTAGAGAATTTATTGCACATTACTCTACTCTGTTGCGTCTATAGAAAATTTATATAAGGTGCTGTACACATTCTCAATTGCGTTAAAATATTAAGGGAAAAGCGTTGAAAGAAAAGGCACGTTGAACTAAAAGTAAACTTATTTCAAATCGTATATTTCCTAAGTGATAACTGTTAAGAGTTCCTTAATAAAGTTAGACATAACCGTGTCACCAGTCGCTCTCTATAACAAGTTTAGGAACGACTCGCCTCGCCGTTCCTGTCCCATTTACCTTTGAAAGTAAACTCGACACACAGATGGACGGGAGGCCGCGTACACTGACACTTTGACCTAGCGCACTATACGGCTTAATGAATTCACGTTCGGAGTCCGTCTTTAGGCAGCTCTAGCTTTGTATATTCTACCTATTAAATGTCTAACATAAACAAACTTTTACCAAAACCTAGCGCGCTTACATTAATATATCGAGTTATTCAAGAATTGAGCGCAAATATTGAATATTATTTTTGCTACGAGGCTCTCGTAGAGGGTCTACGAGATCCCTCTGTAAGAAAGTACTCTGTGCGACGCCTGAAACCAAAACACGCTGCAGGGGGGTGTTGCAAGCCTTCCGTTAGTCGGCCGGCGGACGCCGTGCGCGACGCACGCCTCGCGCCATGTGACACTGCCTGCGGCCGCCATGACCGAGGGGGCGGGCAGGCCCAGGCCCGCGCCGCCCCGGAAGCCGGACTCCTTGACCCTTGCGTGGCCCCGTTGGGACGATCCTCCGCCGCCTGCGCCCGATACCAAACCACCCCATCCCATAAACGACGACTTTGGCGGTTTCTCTCCTTACACGCCGCCGAATCCGATCCAACCGGAACGTAGACCTCGACGGCCCCAGAGCGTGGTGTCCCCGCGTCAAATCCCAGAGGTGACACGACGTCCCCACTCTTTGGGGTCCGTCGAGGACGACTGGCCCGTCCCCCTTCTTCAGCCCGTCCCGCGGCGTCCCGTCCCAAATGTCCCGGTACGCGCGACGTTCCCGTCCTCGAGGAGTGACTATCAGTTGCAAAGACCCGCGATCATGACGAACGGTTATGGTGCAGTGCCGCCGTCCACTTCGCGGAGACTTTCCTTGCCCGGCGGCGTCCAGAACCCGCCGAAAATGTCGGCCACGTTCCACGGGCTGTCGGCGCTCATGGGCATCCATCCGCCGCTCGGCGCGCCCACGGGCACGCCTATGACGCCCAGCACGCCGGCCGCAGTGAGAGAGGCGGTGCGGCATCTATTGCAGCAGCCGAGAAATGGATTCCCTATAATGGACCACAAGCTGTCGTTGTTCATTGACATTTTAGACGCTCAAGAGAGATTTTCACAGGTGACGTGTGTTCAGCGTTATTAATTATTGTAATTAATTCTACCTCGAATTACGTAACATTATATTCCTACCCGCGCATCTCCGCAGGAACTCTCCAAAATGCAAATTCTCCGCAAACATTACGCGAAAGCGATGTTTACATCTATCGTTTCAACTTAAAACCGTTTCAAAACACGCTTTAACAAGTGACGAACAAAGCTCCGAATGATATGAAACGCCGTAACCTGTAACGACGTTTTTGAAATAATAATTAAATGGTGCACACCGTGTGCGTTTTAATTAATTTGAGGTGGATTAAAGTAAACGCGAGAAACAAAGCATATTTTCATAAGCTGAGTACTTAGCGATGTAGAGGCGTGTTCGTGTTGACGTCGAGTCGTAGTCCCTACGAAAAGTAAGGCGAGTTTCCAACTATCACGTTTTTACTAAATTTATCAAATAGCGTAGCATTTAAACGTAGCGATGGTTTTGAATCTCCAAGAAATATTAAAACCATTTCGATCCTTTCCAATAGCCGGTAAACAAAATGAGTGTTTGTGCTGAGCTACATAGAAAGTATGCAACTAATATTAAAAATACACAGAAATGGCCACGAAAATTCAAATTGAAAGCTTCGGTATCCAAATAAGAAATAACTCCGCAAATGCACTGAGCGGTCCGTTATTAGATGTACATGTGTACCATCGCAGTTCACCCGACACACATTCCGCCCGTTCGCAGATTTATACACCTAAAAATGTTTCATCAAAATAGTTTTTACTGCGACTGGTGCACTCGTAAATGTTTAAAGCGGATTTGTTAGAAACATTTGAACCGGCCGAATTTAGGATTTTGATTTTGTGCTATTTATTTCATTTCTCGGTATTAAGTGCACTCCGTTTCCATAAACATAAAAATCTGAACCATTTTTAAATCCTATTATACTCTTTTGGGTATTATCAAACGTATATATTTAAATCATTTAATAATTTAACTCGAGAGAAACTTTGATATTATGTGAGAATTTAGGATTGCTTAGTTAGAAACGGGTCTGTGTCAGGCGTCCATAGAATCGAGTGAGACTGTGAATAATTGAATAAAATTGAATTATAAATTCTGTGGAACTGATAACTTTGAGAGGATCACCTGGCGTCGAACTCGAAACCATTTGCATTGCGTCGGCAGTTTATAACTTTTTAGTGTTTTGTTTATGCTGCATAATTTATGCTGGAATATACGATTACAATTTTACAATAAGTAAAATTGTATAGCATTTAACTTCTATACAAACTCTTGTTCTAAGATGCAAATTTTGGCGCCGATAAAAAACAATGGTTTAGTTTTAATGAAACACTTCAACGGTTTAAAACGCGATATTTACTAGTCAACTTTTCTGAAAACCGCTTTTCGGATGCTTTGCAGCAAGCATCTGAAACGTCGTGCCATAGTGAAAAATCATTTTCAAATAAGTTTATCTATTTTATATCGTGTTATAAACCGTTAAAGTGTTTTATTCAAATGTGTATTACACGCGTAAACTACGGACCGTGTTTAATGTATTGGTTTGTAATAAGACGAGTGTTAACGTACTTGACAATTGTTAGTTTTAACAAGCTATCTTAATTGTCCACCGCGTCTCGTCGCGCTCTTTTAGCAAAGAAATAATAATATTTACGAAATGAAACCGGCATTAAAAATATGATTTTCACGGAGCACTTAGTGCGGGGCTGTTTCGACCGCACTAAGGCCGCGCGGTCCGTGAGACCTATTGACCTCTTTCCTGAAGAATCCCCTTTGTTTCAATATGAGAAACCTGAGATTTGTTGAATACTTCACTTTCTATAAATTGTGCGCGAATTACGGGTAAACTGCTTGATACGCTTCTCCGGGTACAATTTCTAAAGTGTTAAGTTTCGCCCGGCTTTATGTCCTTGTTAGAGCTCATTCTAGAGCTTTTGGTCTTTGATTTTATTGGGGGCCGGATGGCAAATATATATTGAGGAAGAATATTTTTTGTCTCGTCACCTTCTTAAATCACTATTTTGTATTTAAAACATATAAATTGACTCTCCTAAAATCAATGCGCGAAATCATTACAGAATAAAATATTTTCTGAAAATTTTTCCAGCTAAGTTTATGATTCGAGTTTTGTAGATGTTTCGTTATCATTTATGTCAAATATTAGTCTCATGTATACATTTTAAATAATCTTACCTAACATAGGATAACACAGTTAAATAAAACCATAGATATAAGTAAAAATTGGCAATGCTTCTTTTCTCTGTACACGTCTCTCAATTCGCAAATGAGGTTGAACTCGTTTTACATGAAAACAGGAGTTTTCTTTCACCGGATATAGGGAAGGTAGTTAAAAGAATACCGCTAAACACCAAGAGAACTAATTTACGCTTTCTAAGCAAATAAAACTAAGATTCGTTTAAACAAGCTTTTACCGCAGTGTACGGGCTGCGATGTTCAACGATAGAGAAAGTACAAATATTGTTAGACATCCTAGTAACTCAGTTAAAATAATTTTCAAATAAGTTTTAGTAATATATATCGCGCTCTAAACCGTCAAAGTATTTTATTTAAACGTTAGACATCTTTAGAAATGGGTTGGTGAAATTATCGTTTACACAATTAGTTATTAAATAAAATAAAATTATACGTGCTTCTTGTTTCTAAAAAATACATTGAATGATATTACTTAAATTCTTAATGGTGTCAAATAATTTAATTTAATTTTTGTTTAATTTTCATTAGATTTTAGTCAAGTTTATCACGTACATTATCGAAAAAACTTTCGCAATATTCGTAAAAATGTCGTGTCGTATAAATATCCCGCCCCCTAATTACGTCGCAGACACTTCGCGCCACACCCTAACAACCTTCATTTAGATCCATTGTTAACTTTTCAACATCGGTAATGTGCAACAAAAAATAATGTTTTTGGGACGCGATGTTTCCTGTTATCACAAAATGTACTCCGTTATTATGCTCGCAGGTATATTTGTTGCATACAAACTTGTGGTTTTCCGTCTTTTTATTTCGTATTTTAGTTTTTACAACGATTCCATCATATATTATACTCGCAGACTTTTTAAATTCTGCGTAGCACGTCTACGACGATAAGTAGGGGGGGCCCCCGGGGGGGGGGTTTTTTTTTTTTAATTTTTTTTTTTTTTTTTTTTTTTTTTTTTTTTTTTTTTTTTTTTTTTTTTTTTTTTTTTTTTTTTTTTTTTTTTTTTTTTTCCCCCCCCCCGGGGGGGGGGGGCCCCGGGGCCCCCCACACCCCGGTGTTTTTTTAAAAAAAAAAGGTTTCCTAAAAAAAAGGGAAGGGGGTCCCAAAATTTTTTTTTTTTCCCCGCTTTAAAAAAATAACAAAACTAAGGAAAAAATTTTTTTTTTGACAAAATTAAACGCGAAAGTAACTTAAGACGGGACTTGAGGTTAGATATATGCTTTGTACGGACAAACGTCCAAACAAAATTACTATATTTTTATTATAATATTATTTGTAGCAAAGCTAGCATAATTCTCACGTTCAGCGTCGTGCTCACATCAATGTTTTTATTAAAAGCAAATTTACAAGGTTAGCTTAATAAGCATCCTACTTTCTCACTTTATTGTAAATTATATTTAAGCGATATTAATAGGAAATAAATCAGTCGCACTACAGCACTCATTGGGTTTGGTTATTTCGCCTCCCTCTTAACCTTTAAGCTGTTAACTCTACAGCATAGCATTAGCAATTACAAGCACGTATACTTTTCGGAACTGTTCTCCACTACAGTCTCTGGTACCCGAAACTCGGGAGTATACGCTAAACTGTTATACACTACAGTTTTTGGTGCCGAAACCCGGGAACCACAGCCGGTTCCACAGCAAATCATCCCAGGAACTGTTATACATTACAGTTTTTGGTGCCGAAACCCGGGACCCACAGCCGGTCCCACAGCAAATCATCCCAGGAACTGTTATACACTACAGTTTTTGGTGCCGAAACCCGGGAACCACAGCAGTTCCCACAGCAAATCATTCCGGGAACCACAGCAGTTCCCACAGCAAATCATTCCGGGAACCACAGCAGTTCCCACAGCAAATCATTCCGGGAACCACAGCAGTTCCCACAGCAAATCATCCTGGGAACCACAGCAGTTCCCACAGCAAATCATTCCGGGAACCACAGCAGTTCCCACAGCAAATCATCCCAGGAACCACAGCAGTTCCCACAGCAAATCATCCTGGGAACCACAGCAGTTCCCACAGCAAATCATTCCGGGAACCACAGCAGTTCCCACAGCAAATCATCCCAGGAACCACAGCAGTTCCCACAGCAAATCATTCCGGGAACCACAGCAGTTCCCACAGCAAATCATCCTGGGAACCACAGCAGTTCCCACAGCAAATCATTCCGGGAACCACAGCAGTTCCCACAGCAAATCATTCCGGGAACCACAGCAGTTCCCACAGCAAATCATCCTGGGAACCACAGCAGTTCCCACAGCAAATCATTCCGGGAACCACAGCAGTTCCCACAGCAAATCATCCTGGGAACCACAGCAGTTCCCACAGCAAATCATTCCGGGAACCACAGCAGTTCCCACAGCAAATCATCCTGGGAACCACAGCAGTTCCCACAGCAAATCATCCTGGGAACCACAGCAGTTCCCACAGCAAATCATTCCGGGAACCACAGCAGTTCCCACAGCAAATCATCCTGGGAACCACAGCAGTTCCCACAGCAAATCATTCCGGGAACCACAGCAGTTCCCACAGCAAATCATCCCAGGAACCACAGCACTTCCCACAGCGAATCATCCCAGGAACCACAGCAAGTCATCCCGGGAACCACAGCAGTTCCGTCGCGAAACGTCGCAAATAACGTACAGTGCATCCTCGTCGGGTCGCATTAACTAACTCTATTGTGTGTGTTGCGGTATCGTCGGGCGCCGAACAGTAAGGGCACACCGTCTATAGCTGCAGCCACAATCAAGCAAAATGGAAAAGCTTCTCCCCGTTCCTTCAGGTGCCAGCGCTCCGCT